GATCATGTATTCTGTTTTTTCAATGTTTAAAGTTAGCTTGTTTGAAAGAAGCCACTGGTGAATATTTTTCATTTCAGAATTTAGTGCTTCCTCCAAATTATTAATGCTATCTGAACATACTGTAAGATTTGTATCATCTGCATACATTGCCGGACAGGATTTATCCAAGCAATCTGGCAGGTCATTGACGTATAATAAAAACAAAAGGGGACCAAGGTTCGATCCCTCGTGAACCCCACAACGTATTTTCCTGGTGGACGATGTTGCACTGTTCACCCTGCAGTATTGCGTTCTGTTATGCAAATAAGATTTAAACCAATCTAAGGCCTTATTTTGAATTCCATAGATAGATAATTTACTTAGGAGAATTCCGTGATCAATCGTATCAAATGCTTTACATAAGTCCAGAAAAAATACTCCGTTTATCATCCCAGCATCCATGTTAAGTAACCATGAATCCGTATTTGCTAAAATGGCTGATGCGGTGGAATAATTTTTACGGAAACCAGACTGACACGAACTCAGAATATTATTTTCAGTTAAAAGGAATTGAGCTGTGTACAGACAAGTTTCTCAAATAACTTAGCAATAATCGAAAGAATGGAAATCGGTCTATAATTGCCTCGATTTTTTTTGTCACCAGATTTATGAATTGGAGAAATTCTTGCAGTCTTAAGATTATCAGGGAAAATTCCATGTTTGAGTGAAGTATTAAAAATAAATACTAAAAAAGGCGCCACGGTATCACTCGCATCTTTCAAAAGTTTGGCTGGGATATTATCATGTCCAGTTGACTTAGACGTCTTTAATTTCTCCAGTGCATTTAACACTTCATTGATATTAATGTTTTCGAAATTGAACTTATGTTGAGTTTTAAATTTCATATAACGTTTAAAATCAGTGTTAGTTTCTGTGATCTGGTTCGACAGATTTGGTCCTATATCAGTAAAATATTCATTGAACAAATCAGCTATAGTTTCATTTTCAGTAATAACCTGTTCGTCTATTTGTAGTACTGATATATTTGTTGATCTAGAATTTTTATTAACTAACTGATTCATATGTTTCCACATTTGCCTTGTATTATTTCTGTTTCTGTAAACACAGTTTGTGCAATAATCTCGCTTTGCATACATAATTTTTTTGTTAATCTCATTGCGAAGACTTTTGTAAGCATTGTGGCATGCAGTTGAGTTTGTCTTAATAGCTTTCTTCTTGAGATAATCTCGGCGATTCATACTTTTCCTAATTGCATCAGTCAGCCACGGTGCCTTTCTGTTTCTAACTTTACGGCTTTGAAGTGGAGCATGAATGTCAGCAACATAATTGAATGTTGTTTGAAAGTTCTCCCAAAGCATATTTGGATCATTTATCTCCCAATTTAAATTAGATAAAGCATGGTATAAGTCTTGGTTAAAGTCTCGCTGTATGTAGTTTTTAAAATTTCTTGACTCAACAAATTTGGGATCATTTTTTACAAACGAAATTTTTCTACAAACGTAGATCAAGCTATGGTCACTTATTCCAACATGCAACATCCAAAAGAGAAGCTGTTTTTTCGGTAATTCGTGTAGGCTGGTCAATCAACTGTGTCAGCTGGAATATATTAACAATATCATTAAAACGTTTAGTGTGATTGCTTAAATTGTTGGATAAAAAATCACAATTTAAATCGCCAACGATAATTAGTTCTTTATGTTCGTTGTCAAGGTTTTGAAATAATACTTCAATTTTATCAAGGAATTCAATTTGCGAATTCGGTGACCTATATGCAGATGCAACTAAGACAGGTTTAGATTTAGGCTTAATAATTTCGAGGCAAACAGCCTCGACGTCCTCTGGGACTAAATCATCTCTATCAATTACGTTCGAAATACTGCGATGGTAAATTGCAACACCGCCTCCTTGCCGATTACGATTTTTGGCAACCATGTCGTAACCGGGTATACTAACAGTATCTGTACTAATTGTTTCATCCAAACGAGTTTCGTTAATGCTCAAAACATCCAGTGGTTCTTTTTCCAAGTATATTTTTAATTCATCAACATGCTTGACTAACGAAGCGATGTTTAAATGCCCAACTCTAAATCCTTTCAAAGATTGTAAAAATGTAATGCTATTTTCACACTTTGTTTGTGGAATAATCTGGCTCTTTTGGTTCGATGTCGGAAATTTTTCTGTAAAAAGTTGGAACTTTACCTAGGCTAAAAATTATGTAAATAACTAATAAAGTTTTTAGCTAAAGTAGAAGATCCTAACTTATTCAGATGCAATTTGGATCTGTTAAGCGACTTACTGAGGATATTGTTGTTATGTATAACAACACAATGTATAATAACACAATGTATAATAACACAATGTTTTCTAGAGGTTTGTCTATCATGACATTAACATAACTCAAAAGTTTTTTCACAAATGTTGTTTTCCCTGACTTTGTGCTCCCAGACACGAGAAGGCCAAACGGGTGTATTAACTGTATGGAGTACATGTTGAAAATGAAATCATATATTTTGATCGTCACTATTTATATCATGCGTCCAATGAGTCTATACAATTCAGTTAAAACTACTTCCAAGTCCAAAGGTGCACATTTGGCGGAAAGTTCATGAACACCTGCTAAATGGTTAGATAATTTCAACAAATTTTTCTTACCACAAATCGGACAGTCTTTACGCTTTCGAGGCATGATGTAGAATGAAGACCTTACCTGACTCCCATCTCTTATATAAATGTCCCACACGGGACTTTTTTGTTCCGGAAGTCCCGGAAACGCTCAAAGTGTCCCTGCGGGACTGTTTGTCCCGTGCGGGACTTATTGTGTCCATGAAACTCTGCGTGGGAGAGGGGGATGCCCGAGAGAAATACACAACATGTTTTGAAAAATATATATTGACTATTTACAAACTAAATATCTAAAGGAATTGTTGACACACCGTCCTCCAAAACTTTACGTTTTGTATAAAAATAACTAAAAACTTGAACATATGTACACATAGTATTATTTAAAACCCTAAGACCCCTATTTACACCCGACCCACTACGTTTACTTAAAAGCACATCTAAATATTTATCTTTATTAATTACATTATTTTTCTTATTTACGCCCTTGCAACTATATTTATCTTTCTCCCCAAAACAATAATATATCTTACTACATAAAGATACAATCCCATCCCCTTCTCATTCTACTTTAAACAATCCCGGTTTTCTCCTGTCGTATTTCGCATGTTCAGTTGTATCGGAGCGAGGAAACCAGTTACATTTATCGTTCTCAAACGCCTCTCTTAAACCAGGCTTGACCAATTCTTCAACACTTTCACCACTAATAGCGATATAGGCACTGTCTCATCTCGCAATACCCATAATCGGAACGGTCAAGGTATGTATGTCGTAGTAAAACTGTAACATTCGGAGTTTCGCATACTGGTACACGAAGAACCCCACCTGTAAAATAAGAATAATTTATTAATTTATATTTCTAATGACAAAATGATCATGCAATACATACCTGTAGTGGTAAGTCCAACTTTATTTTCTTCTTAGCACTTTCCACTTCGTAGGTGTCATCGTCGATCACGTTCATTTGCCGGTAGAATGGTGAGATGATTAATTCAGAGACCTCATCATCGTTGCAGTAATTCACCTTGCGATGACGCTCTTTGTTGGTGATGGTCTTCCCGTATGAGCTGTTACAACAAAGAAATACAAAAAATGAGTATTTCTTGAATACGTCACGACAGCGTGATTTTAAAACTCACCTATTCCCGACCAATTTCATCGTGTCCGCGATGATGGCTTTGGAGAGGTGTGCATCACCAGCACGACGAGCATCCGATACAGCGTCACCGAAAGGTTTGAAGCATGGCTTAGGGGTATACTCGACTATCTGGTAGACGTGTGTTACCTAAAACGATAATACAATTTGTTAAAAAGAAAAATTCTCCTGCAATTTTACAAGTTTTTAATATTTAAAACGTACCTCTAAACCATGTTCTAAATACCATTTTAGAAGAGGAGTTGCCAACATTATCTTCCTTCCGATCAAACTTCCAATGAGACTCCGCCGGGGTCGGGGCATGATGTTGTTTTCTTCGGCATAGCTCTTCATGAACTCACCAATGTCCTCTCGACGTATTTCTGTGTTTTTAAATATTGGACACATCTCTTTGAAGTATTCTCGCAAACTCTCAGGTACGTGGATATCACTCTCGATACAGCCAAAGAACGTATCATTCTTCACAGCGTTGACAATTGATCGAGTTGTCATCGTTTTTACTTTGTCTAGGGGTCGGCGAAGTTGCGTGGCAATGAATCGTTGCAGCGCGGTGTTTCGTTTCTTCATCTCTCGCCACTCACATTCCCAATATTCAACGAGATCGAATCCCTGCTTCTTGATAAAGGCGCTGTTTCTTTGGGTCTATTCAAGGAGTTCCTTCATCGGCTTATCACGCTTCTCGTTGACTTCTTTCCCTTCGTTCAGATGACAGTTGTGCCCATGCCAATAACATCCTATTAAAACAAAGTGTAATACAGTTAAACCTACAAAAGAAAAATAAAGTTATCCTACAGGCCCACGCAATCCCTAAAAACTCATTAGCTCACTCCCACACAATTAACTTAATCCTAGTTAATTAACTTAATCTTATCTAATTACACTAAAACAACAACTTACCATGAAACTGAAACACCGTTTGTGATTCAGCGTGAAAACCGTCAACAGGGAGACGACGAGTACCAATTCTTTTCTCCGTGTTGTTGTACTCGTGTCCGATACTAATGCCGCGACTGTACGCTTGCCATTCTAACCATTCGGTCGCCATTTTTCCACTCCACCGTTTCTTAAACCGTCCTCCTCTAACCGTCTTGTGTACTGTCACGTTGGCATGTCTTGCATGATGGCCCACAAGTAGAGCGCATTGGCATCGTAACCAACTACATTCTTGCAGGATTTCGATTCTTTTCCTCTGGCTCGCATTTCTTCCTTCCGTATGGATGATTTCTCTTTCTCGTGGTACCTGTTAAAGATAATGCTGGGGCCCCCTACGTTATTATCCTTCATTGAATAATACATATCCTTGTCCTTCTCGCTGAACAAGGAGAAGTAGGTGCCTGGAATGTTTGAAAATAAATATTTCATAGTTAAGCCAAGCACACTCACACCGTCCTTAAACATATCAATGTTCCTTTCTTGCCAGAAATTGCTTATTTTATCAATTGCTTCAAGGTTGTTATACCACACGAGAAAGTCGCGGAAAGCTGTCATATTCTGTTCGTCCCATACACCCTGGCAATACTCATACTCTTCCTCGGTGATGTCGGTTCCGGATAGAGTGGAATAGAAGGTTTCGCGTGCTGGAAAGGAGCAATGATTGAGTTTGTCGAGGGAGTCGACCCACTCGTACGGGAAGTAGCCTTTGGTCTGGGAGCACTCGTACGCTTTGAGAAACTGTTCGTAACTAAATCCCGGAGCCAGATAGTTTGTGATATCGACGAATTTTAAGTGTTGAGTCTTAAGACACATGTGGTTATTGTTCCTTTTTATCACAAACATAACTTGTTCGTGCTTGACGAAATGTGAAAAGAAGGGGTTTTTCGCAGCATTAATATCATATTTACCAGAGTTGAACCCAAGAATTGGTAACTCTTGTAAGTATTCTGACAACTTATCTTGGAGTTTGAGTAGAGAATGGACCACATCCTAAATAAATGAAAAGGTGTCATAAGTAAAAAGCAAGATACTTACACATCCCTATAAACACTAATCTATATAACAACCGCTAAAATGGATCATGAGTGTGATACTTACTCTCTCTCAACATCTTTATCCACGCTTGACAAAAATGCACGCCAAAGCGCCAATTAAAAGTGTGACAAATTTTCTTTAAGTCCGTGCAAAAAACTCCAGAAGACTGGTGACTAATTTGACTTCCAAAATTGCGCAATTTGTCTTGGCCTTTGAACAATTGTGGTTTCTTGGGGGTAATGCCAGACCTAGCAGTGTTAATAGGGGGGATTAGGAGGATAAATTTGATACCAAGGTTGCTATAGTTACGCTTTTTGTTTTGTTGGGAAGGAGTCTTCTTTCAAGGCGCTCGCGCTAATGGCGCGCTTTCGCGAAATTTTCTGAAAGTTGGCAAATTTCGCCTTGGTAAAAAAATCTTTATTGTTGGTCTGATTGTTAAGTTTTTTCGATTATTTTGTTCTTATGTGATTATTTTAAAATCCTATGGTTTTTGTTTTTGGAATTTGGTGGTAAAAACCGATAAAATATGCCGCTTCCAAATGGCTTTTTTAAACGATTTAATATCGCCGAATATATGAGAAAGAAAAGATTGGACAACAAGGCAATCGTGGCAAAGACAAAAAAGGCTCGTGCGACGGCTGTGAAGCTCAAAAGACTGGATGAAAAGGTAAAGATAAATTACTTGTTAGTTCAGTAAATATTTATCAAATTCACACAAATTGTATTGCTGTAATACCTATGATTAAATATCGTCATATTCACCCAGCTAAGTATTGTTGATATAGGTATATGCCTTTATTTCTGCCGACTGATTTATAAATACTTGTAGTTGTTGCTTTTACCGACATTTGTTTGTGATTGGAAAGTTCATTGTACTGTATTTATTAACTTTAAACTATTCACAATGGTGCTCATTGTCAATTGTGTATGGAAAGTATTTGAAGAAATATGTCATATTATAATATATTGCAGGTAGCCAGACTAGTTAGAGAGGTAGAGGAGGTAGGGGAGCTTGAAGGTGAAGTGGTTGAGGAGATTAGTCAGGCAGAGGCAGAAGAGCAGAGGAAAATTGGATTTTCTATTAGTAGGAAGACAACAGCGACACGACAGGCAGCACCGACTGGGACACCTGGGCACTGTAGTTCGACAGGAAGGAAGCGAAGACAGGAGACGATGAAGGCAGCATGTGCGATACATGGTGGTAGTTCCAGCAACACAACACCGGGAACAATTGGAATGGTGGAGACGATAGAGACTCGGAGTAAGGAAGAAGATATTGTGAAGGCGGTGAGGAAGACAAAAAAGTTGAAGGAGAAGGTATTGTCGAAGTTGTACAAGGAAGATCTGGAAAAGTTTGAAAGTTCGAACGATAACATGTTGCGATCAATAGCATGCTATTATAGTAATGGGGTAATGGGTAGAGCTAAGTACAGATCTGTGTATAGGGCTACTTCATATAGGAATGCATCAAAAACGAAACGGGCTGTGCGTATAAAGGTTGCAAACTGCCCCTCCCCCAGGCTTGTTCCTTACCACAGGTTGATGTTGTATATCAAGTCCATTGAAATAGGTAAGTTATATGATGTGCGGGAGATGCTCTGTGATGGGTTGGAAGAAAGTGAGAAGGTGAATGGTTGTTATAGAGAGTTGGAAGAGCTGATTTTGAAGTTAGCAGAGTTTTATCTTAATAGTGATGAGTACAAGATTTTGACATTTGACGAGCCTAACACATTCCATATAGGTTTAGGTGGTGATGGTGCTCCTTTCGGGAAAGATGATACTGCATGCTCTTGGCTGGTAAGTTTTCTGAATATTGGACAACATGTATTGAGTAGGAATGAAAATTTCCTTCTTTTTGGGGCAAATTGCTCTGAGAACAGTTTGCCAGTTAAACGTTTCATCGCAAAGCTAATGACAGATATCCATCATGTTCAGAATAATTCATATTCTGTATTATGCAAGGGAGAACCTGTTGCAGTTAAATTTGTCATTGCGGAACTGCCTAATGATATGAAAATGCTTGCATTTTTAGGAGGAGAGCTAACAAACAGTGCTACCTATTTTTCCACTTTTGCAGATGTCAGTAAGGATAGTATAGTTAATTGCAAAGGAACATTTGGTTCCCAACCTACTGACACCTGGAAGCCATGGCTATATACAAAGAGGGTAAAAGATGCAGATGCAGTTAAGAAATTTAAGAAGAAGCTAAACCAAAATCTCTCTAGTAACACCAAGAGAAATAAAGTAACAGCCTTTATAGCAAAGCAAAAAAGTCGACAGGAATTTGTTCCCTTAGTGGCAGAGTTAATCAGTAAAGCCCACATTGAGCCACTGCACTTGAAAAACAATGCCTGTGCCCTGGCCCATCGTTTTCTACTTAAACTTGCTATTTCATGGTCTAATTTATCTACTTCCATCTCTAGTTTCTCCCAGGTGCCGCCACAATCCATCTTCTTCAAGTATGTTGATACATTAAAGTCAAAGTGTGGCCTGAACAGGTTGGCTAAAAGGATTGTCAGGTGGTTTAATGATACTGGTGCTAATGGGAAGGATTTTGACTACCGATTCACAGGTAAGGATTCAAGAATGTTTTTGCATAATTTTATGTTCCTGATTAGTACTCTTGAAGGTCAGGCTAAAAGTCAACAGGCTAAACAGATAATTCACATCCATGCTTACCTGTGCCTTTGCTTGCGCAATGCAGTTTCTTTGTTTAGTCGCATCAACATTAGTGATGAGGAAGTGAGTGAACTGAAAGCACATTGTAGAAATTTTTATCGTGGCTATTGCTTGTATTTTCATGTAAATCCCACAGTATGGTCTCTTGGCAATGTTGTTCCACAGCATACCCAAGAAATGAAGATGAGGTATGGGTTGGGCCTTGGTTTAAATTCAATGGAAGGGAGGGAAGCTAAGCACATTGCAATAGCAAAATACTGTGCTAACACTGCTTTTTTATTTAGATGGGAACAGGTATTTAGGCATGAATATATCTCTTTGATATGGCTACGGCAACAGGGTTATAATGCAAAAGTAAACACCACAACTACCAGTTCCTATATTCCAAAGCGTGTTTGTATTAACAACCCTGAGTTTTGTAACTGTGGTTTGAACAAACCAGTTTCAGATAATGTTTGTAGATTTTGTAGTGATGACTTTCGCAGAATGATAAAGGAAAGTATTGAGCAATGTAAGGTGATTGAGGTATGAATCTGAGGTACAGTATTATACTCACAAGATTGATTGAAGAATACCTGAATAAAGTAAAAGGGACTTTCACATTTTGAGAAATTTTAAGATACTTGAGAAAAACTAGAAATGGACGAAGGTAGATTAGACCATGAAATTTCAAGTTAGAATTTCATTTTTTTAATAATTTCGGCCGTTTTAAAGTTTTCAGGCAGTAAAATCCTTCAAACAAGCTTGTGAATGTGAACACTGTGTATTTCTACATTACTAACTTATCAAAAAAGGCATGTGCTCAAAACATCAAAGTTTGTTTCCTTCATTTTAGTTGGTGATCCAAGATTACCTCATACTGAAATATTATTTAATTTACCAGCATTTGCTGATGTTGCTCTTAACCCTTTAAGGGCTCGTTCAGACTGAGTGCCCGGCACTGGTGCCCAATGTTCAAAATGGTTCACAAAACATGTTGAGCACAGTGCCGTTGTTGAGTACTACCTATAGAGGTAGTGCCCGTTCTTGGGCACTGTGCCCAATTTCATTTGAAAGCGTCGTGTTCAAACTGGGAGCCAAAACAAGTGCCGGGCACCAGTGCCGGGCACCCAGTCTGGACGCAGCCTAAGTGGCAATGCGCCCAGATGCGCCCTGGTTTATTATTTTACTCTGTCTCACGCCAGACGATTTTACTCGTCAGGGAGCGAGTGCTGCCACTCAATGGGTTTGTTGGCTGTTTGTGAAAATTGTGTATTACTACATTCAGTATATTGCTAAATTAACAACAAAGGCCTGTGCTCGAAACGACAAAGTTTGTTTCTCGCATTTTAGGTGGTGATCCAAGATTACTTTGCGTACTGAAATGTTAGCTAATTTACCTGGGGCCGGTTGTTCAAAGCTGGGTTAGTTTAACCCTAGGTTAAACTAAAATTCAAAGCAAACTTCCTCACGGCTTGTCTATAAATTGGGAAATATTTCTTCAGAGATCTTGTCTGAATCAGTAGGAGTTTACTTCTTTGAAGTTTTGAAATAAACAGACGTGTAGAAATACACAAACTAAAACAGCAGGTTAAATTTTAACCCAGGGTTAGCCCTAATCCACTTTTCAACAACCGGCCCCAGGCCAGTATTTGCTGACATTGTTATTAATTGGCTCTGTCAAAATGTCATGCTCTACAGTAATCAGTAGACTGATGAGAGATGTATGTTGTTACTAAATGTTGAAAATGTGTGCAGGAGAATGTTTGTGATTGTCTTGTGTGAAGAAAGGAGATATTTGATTTGTGCTGGATGTGAGATTAGAGATATGTTGAATTTGATGATATACAACTTTCGAAGCTAACCTGTTCCTAAAAATCAAAAATAGTCATTGAAACTATGTTTTCAAATCTTACTTTTCTGCTAAAAGCTCTTTTTGAAAGACAGTACGTAATATGTTATAGAGTTAAAAGCTAACCTTGTCACTGAGGATAATCATGGACATGGAGCTTTTTCCCTCAAGTACTATTGTACTGTACTTCCAAAAAAGATCTTCCAGCCTTATCCTAAAAGTTTGTTTCAAGCAGTTTGCGCCACATAACATACAGGGTTTTGTTGTGGAATTCGAGAATCTCATAAAATACGAAATGACAAAATAATTTTATCCACAAAAAGTTCGCAGCCATTTCCTATTTTGTTCCAGCTTCTTTGACAACTTTTCACATGGATTATACAGTTGCGAGTTATGAAATATCATGCTAAAAGTTTTTCTTTTTGTCACAAATCATAATTGAAAGAATTTAATTAAACTTTAAGGTCTCGGAAAATAGTAGATTAACCCATTAAGCTGCAATGTGTCCTGGTTAATGGCTCATTAATTCCAGGCAATTTTACTTTTCAAGGTCAGGCAAAACGTTGGCATTTAATGAATCGACTGAATTGTTTGGCAAATCATGTCTCAAGTTAATTCATTAAGTTCCAAGTGCTGTGCATTAATGGGTTAATATTTTGAAGGAATTCCATATAAACTTGAAAGTGCAAACCCAAATACAATGATATTCATATTCACGGCCTGTTTCAATTTATACATATATTTTTTATCTTTGCATGCATATAGACCTTAGTCCTTACTGTTTGTCTACTTTTCACACAATGGCCTCGTTTTTGTGTGGTATTTACTATTATATAATATTTTGTGCACAATAGGGTTAAGAATATCGTGAAGGAAACATGGGGATATAACTTTCGTGTGCGCAGAACCGAAACCATTGGTCAAATGTGGGAAACAGTAAGGTCTACTACCTTAATTATAAAACTACTATTTGCAACGACTGAATATGTCTCAGCATTGTGCACAAGCCAAAACACTGTTTGTTGTTTGACCTCTGGTCTAAATGCAACAGAATAATTTATCCTAATTTGAAAACATAAAACCAAGTACTTTTCAAAAAAACTTGTGAAAATGTGTTGTATTTGCTTATGCAAAATGTTAACACAATCGCACAATTTAACTGTCACAATAAATAGTAGCCTTATAACTGAATACCACAATAAGGCACAATTTGCCCTTTTTTGCTATTTTACTTGATCTAATGCCAGATCATGTACTGTTTTGGGCACTTAGGGGCTGACTAGCTAACCTGTTGTAAGCCGCAATGTAGTGCTGTACTCGTTAGTGTACTTATTTAACACATGAGAACTAGCAATTAAGACATTGTATTAGAGAACAATTTTGAACATTCTATTTTTCAAAAATGCTTTAAATTTTATGCACAGCATATGGTATTAATTAGTAAATAGTTTACAGCATATTGTACTATATCATATAACACTTTGTACTGAAACTGGCTAATTAACCAGATATTGTATGTGTTACACAAAATATGTGAAAATGAATGTTTATCGGTAAAGTATCGTCTGCAAATTAGTAGATAAGTTGCCACAAGTGAATATTAAACACACTTTTAAGCTTTTAACATATGACCATATTTATCAAAGTTATATATAATAATAATATGGCATAAGCACTTACGCAATCTTTACACTGTATATAATATATTTTTTATATTATCGAGCTTGGCCTCATTTGTTGCCAATGGTTAAGCATTATGCTGGCTAGAGCTATTGTATCAGATCAGAGATAACATAACTCATACTGCACAATGACATTGAATAAAACAATGTAGAAAACAAGTGTGTTTGTGTCTATTTCAGAACATTAAATTAAACAGTAATCAGCATAATGCATGAGTCAATTCCATGAGTAACCATACCTCTCCCGCCACCCCCGAAATATACATGGGCATTAGCATTTTTGGAAAGGACAAATTCCCAGTTACAGGGAGGTAAAATGTACGGCCTCTGGACAATCATTAGCTGACCAATGTCCCATCCCCGGGATAATTTAAAAATTAGTTTTCATCAATATCATTTAAAAATCGTGCAACGCATAGCAAAAACTTTAGTCCAGTAACATTATATTATCAAATGTTATAATACACTGTTACTGAACTAAAATTTAATACCAGAATATTTTTTGACAATTGAGATTTTTTGCTAGTGCCAAATGTCTGGGGATCTTTTAGCTGCCAAACAATGTCTGGGCCGGTGCACTAATCCGTGTGCAAATTCACAGCCCTCAGGAATGGCATGCTCAGGAATTGCCCAGCAGTGTCTGAGGAGGGAGGGGGGG